GCATATACCTATAGTTCCAGCTACTTGGAAGGCTGAGGTGGAAGGATCGCCTGAGCCCAGGAGGTTGAGGCTGCAGTGGCTGGGAGCGTGCCACTGCCCTCCAGCCTGGATGACAGAATGAGACTCCTACTCAAAAAAATAAAATAAAATATAAAGAAATAACCCTTAAGGTCTATACACACACACACATCAGATAACTTACAAAGGCCACAGAATTAGGCTGAAATCAGACTTTTCAAAACCAACATATAAAGACGGCAATGGGCCAAGCATGGTGGCTCAGGCTTGTAATCCCAGCACTTTGGGAGGCTGAGGCAGGAGAGTCACTTGAGCCCAGGAGTTCAAGACTAGTGTGGGCAACATAGCAAAACCTCATCTTTATAAAAAATGAGCCAGACATGGTGGCGTGTGCCTGTAGTCCCTGCTACCCAGGAGGCTGAGGCGGAAGCATCTCCTGAGCCCAGGAGGCTGAGGCTGCGGTGAGCCGTGACCAACTCAAACCCCTGGGCTCAGGCAGTCCTTTTGCCTCCACCTCCCAAAGGGCTGGGATTACAGGCATGAGCCACCGTGCCCGGCAGGGATGATTCTTTTCATGAACAATTAAAAGACAGACTTGGCCAGGCGCAGTGGCTCACGCCTATAATCCTAGCACTCTGGGAGGTCGAGGTGAGAGGATTGCCCGAGCCCACGGTTTAAGACCGGCCTGGGCAACTTGGTGAGACCTCATCTCTACAATTAATCAACAAACTCGGCAGGCATGGTGGTGCATGCCTGTAGTTCCAGCTACTTGGAAGACCAAGACGGAAGGATCACCTGAGCCCAGCAGGTTGAGGCTGCAGTAGCTGTGAGCATGCCACTGCACTCCAGCCTAGGTTACAGAGTGAGACTCCAACTCAAAAAAAAAAAAAAGGCAAGAGGTGAAAGACAGTACCTTCTTCATTTACTCCCCTGGTTTCAAGGCATGGATTTTTTTGCCCACAGAAACTTGGGAGATGATGACCGTCAATTCCAGATTCAACATTTTCTTTAAGGTGGCCCTTCTGTTTTGCTCCAGGTAGCCACGTGGGATGAATATTGATATACAGAATAGAAAATTGTATTGAGCCACGAGAGGATCCAGGGCAAAAAAATTTGGATTCACCACCTTAGGGATGGATGAAAGGTGCCATTGCTCATGGTACAGGATAGACTCACCTCCATCATAACCAACAAAGAAAAGTCCTGATAGGAAGTGAGCACTTTGGATCTGTGAGCCCGGGTATGGGGGAAGGAGCAGGAATCTAACCTCTCTTGTCTCTCTCACAGAGTAGCCTGTATGACTTCTAGTTGACCAAATTTACTGGTACACCTACCCAGGCAGAGGCTTCCAAATATTCAAAACAACCATCCTGAATTTGACAAACTGCTGAATAGTTCATCCATCACCTGTCCTTGCAGATAAACATCTGATTGCTGTGCTTCTGAATACTTCAAATGGACATTTCTCTAAATACGGACCTTTCTGATACCCCAAGACCCTCAACTTTATTACACTAGACCCCAGACATTGCCACAATTGGACTCTGATGCCCTGGAGCACAACACTTTTGTAAATGTCAACTGATCCTGTCCTACATGGGGGCAACTGAAATACATGGGAAAAGAGACATGGACTCCACCATTGAGGCTATTGTGGCCTCGGTAGTGGTGCCTTCTCTTCTCCTGCACTTGCTCTCACCTGACACTAACTTTCCAATTCTACTCCAGCACTCTGCCCTCCAGAAGGGACTTCCAGTTGGTTTACCCCATGGTAATTAATGACTTTTACACTCCTGACACTTTGTGCACCTCCTTGGGATATAATTTCTTTTGTAAGAATCAGGTCTTTACCTGCCTTCCTCTTACCAATGTAACATGCCCATACACATTGATAAGAGACTTGCAGATGTTCAAAACAGCCCCCTCCTATTGAACATACTGCATTCTGCGGTATAAGACATGAGCTCAAAACCAGGCAGATCCTGGTTATTTGAGAGAATTGCCAGGTGGCATTACCATCGCTGCTCATGCATAAGCTCTGGGCAGCCTTTCCCACTGTTGTTGGAGTCAATTAGAAAAGGTTGTGTTCAACCTATCCTTCATTAATGCCTTGCTGAGGTCATTAATGACATTACTTCAGCAATCGAGGCACAAAAGACTCATCTCAATTCCTTGGCCCAAGTAGGTTAGATAACTTCATAGCCCTTAACCTCCTGCTGCCATTTGGATCAGTGAAGCTTGCAAAACCAAATTGTACATCAGGAGGCTTTTAAAAAGGCTCCAAGGCAGGGCATAGTGGCTCGCGCCTGAAATCCCAGCACTTTGGGAGTATGGGGCAAGAGGATTGCCTGAGCCCAAGGGTTTGAGGCCAGCCTGGCCAATTTGGTGAAATCTCATCTCTACAATAAATCAAAAAATTCACTGGCTGTGGTGGCAGTCACCTGTAGTCCCAGCAACTTGGAAGGTTGAGGCGGAAGGATCGCCTGAGCCAGGCATGTCCAGGCCACGGTGACCGTGAGCATGCTACAGCGCTCCAGCCTAGACGACAAAGTGAGACTCCAACTCAAAAATAAATAAAAAGGAAAAAGGCTCCAGGCTCTCTAAGTTAGATCTAGAGGGGCTGTGGGCATTTGTTTTTCTTTTTCTTTTATTTTTTTTTTTGAGTTGGAGTCTCACTCTGTCGCCCAGACTGGAGTGCAGTGGCCG